CCTATTGTTCCTTCAGATTTTATTTCACTCATCATGTCCTCAGAGATTTCCCTGACATCTCTTATTAAACCAAACCCCTTATTACAGTCTCACATTGCAATGTCACATTAATTCGTGTAGGTATTTGATCAAGGTTTCTCCTTTTCTATTGTGGAAGTTCCATGAGGGCAGGGACCATGTCTGTTTTTGCTGACACCGTATTTTTGGTAGCTGGCCTGACCCGGCAAAGGGCAGGCGTTCAGTTAGTATGTGTTGAGTGAAGAAATGAATTACGAGTGCTACTGAGGGTGGTATATGGGGGAAATGCGGGGCAAATGGGCATTTAATGGAACCTAAAGCTGGGGCACAGGAAGAGAATTTGAATGTACACCATCCTAAAAGAGGATGTTGGAGTTTCTTTAGACTAATTATAAAATTTGCAGAGTGCACAACATCTGTAGTTGTGTGTAACTCCCCTTCCCCCCAGGCCGAAACAGCCTCAGGGAAAACCACAGATTTCAGGTGGGTCCCCGCGCCCTCCAGCCACACTGCTCTGCCTCTGGGGGTGTGGGGGGGAAGTGAGAGGGGGTGGCATTCGTGCCAGCTCTCCTTTGCCAAGGGGGAAGGGCTGACTTGGGCAGAGACCTGTCAGGCCCCCTTTCTTAGGGGCTCCGGTGTTTGCACCCTTTCTTGAGGGGCATCTCTCCTAGCACATTGGTAGCAGGTAAAGTCCCTTCACCTTATTCCTGAATCTTCAACTGACAAGCGTAGGGCCTGCCAATGGTTTCATTTCCCAACTCCTGTTTCTTCCAGAGCCCAGACAGCTTGACAGGACTCACTCAGGGCGGCAGCCATTCTTCCGACAAATATTTACTGCCAGAGAGAGAGAGAGAGACAGAGACAGAGAGACAGAGAGGGAGAGAGAGAGGGGAACAACATGATGCCCTCACCCCAGGAGCTTGTCATCTTCTGGGTTCTTTTCAGCTACCTTCACCTCGGCTGTCAGGCCCGGGCTGAGAATTTGTCTTCTCTACACTAATTTTTGCCAAGAGGCAGGAGTTTAGAAGAACATTAATCTGTTTTCCTTCCAGCTTTGCCTACACAGATGACAATATTATTGCTCTCAGGCTTTTAAAGTGAAAGTCAACACAGAGATCACAGAGTCCAGGAGGGCTCCTGAATCATTTGAGATAATTATTTTATTTCATTTTTTTCTTCTTAGGTCCTCCATATCTGTGAATCAGCGATGTGGGAAATGGGGGCTTCAGAAACATTAAGGGAAGCTTGAAGTGAGCAAAGCTGAGCAGAGTGTGGGCAGCAGCCGAGGGCTGCCACAGTGGGAAAATCAGGCAGTGCGTCATGTGAGGGAGCTCCTGGTGGTGTCTGCCTCTTTCAGCAGCATCCACATAGGCTGGGACAGTCAGATCACTGTGCCTTGGGCAGGGATGAAAACACCCAGCACTGCCAGAGTACTCCAGAGGGGTGTGATATCAGGATGGCCTGTGCCAGCCTCATTTATTTGCCTCAGTCATTTGAACAAAGCAGTTGCTGGACTAACTGTGCCGTGGCAAAAACCCACGACAAATCCAAATGTCTCTTTCCTACTGCCTTTGCTCCCACAGCACAGCGCTGATACCTTCTTAGTGGAATGGACCTCATCCCATGGCAATTGATGGATGAGCTGTCCCTTCCCTGGGCTGGGGGTTCCTCCAGGCAGGAATCTTGGCTTGGTTTCTTCCATGTCTCCAGAGCCCGGCACAGGGCCGGGAGTCTAGTAAGTTTCTGATGAATAAATGAATGGCTGTATGGACATATGGGATGCACCTGAGGCTCCTGTAGTGGGAACATGTTTCATAGTACAGTAATCTGTTGGCTCCCTACAGCTTGTAGGACCCAAAGAATGAACAATTTGTCCTTTCTAAGAAAGGCATGTTTCCTGTGGGGACTGCATAAGGGAAGGTGACTGCAAGTTGAGAATCAGGGCGAGCAGAGGTAGACAAAGGCCCCTGGAAAATGACACAGAAATGGAGGAGGTGTTCATCCCAAGGAGACTCCAGGGCATCCAGGCGGAGCTCTGATTCTCCAAGAAATCCACAGACAGTGCCTGGGAACAGGGCTGGGGGAGGCGGGTTCTCAGGGAGCCATTATTTCAGTCTCCACAAAGACCCCCAGGTGGACTCCCACGCTTTCCCTCGTCTGTCCACTAGGGGGCAGGCAGAGGCAGGAGAAGAGGTGAGATGGTGGCCAGTCGGCTCCCAGGCTGGGCTCATCAGGCAGCAGTACTCCCAGGCTCACGTCCAACACACTGGGCTGTTTGTATTACTCAGACAACAAGGCCAGGCCTCTCTTCCTGCCTGCCGTGGCCTCTGTGATTTTATATGATGTGGCTTGTGACATCAGATACCACGCGACCATGGTAACCAAAATATACAGCTTGGTGTGAATGTTAATAAACAGGAGAAAAAGTGATCCCCGGTTTACTTCTTTTACTGACCATTTGTCGTTTTTCTATTCATGTCTCATGTATCCTTTATTATCCAGAACAATCAAGGTGTACCTGAATTCCACCACCTTTTAAAATGAAAGAGTAAATGAGGAAAATGTGCCCTGGTCTCCTGTTCATCTAGCCTTGAAAATAGCAACTCATTTCCTCATGTGCGAGCGACCACTTCCTCTTGATATCCTGCCCAGCCCTCCTCTTGTGTACCAACACACCATTTCAAGGGAAAATTATTTTCTTGATAATTCCCACATGCCTTGGAAAGTCACTTCCTCCTAAGAAATTCCAGGTGATGGGAACCCTTAATTGGTTTAAGTTTTTTCTAATCACCAAGGATTCAATAAAAACACAACTTTCCTTCTACACAAATCATCCTCTCATAGAAATTAGTGGGCCCATAGATACGGGCCTAAAATAACCAAACTGAGCATAAAGGAATACACATTTCACCAGGCCAGACCACAGCAATGAGAGTCTCTGTGTAGAAAGGAGAGTTGCTTCATACAAAACCGGAGGATTTCAAAGTAGCATTCTCCTGCCTGCAGAGAATGTCCGATTAGAAGCCCACCAGTGCCGGATAACCTTAATAGAAAGCTTTGCTTTAACGAAGTTAAAGACTCTTCAGTGAGTCGCATCTTTAATTGGAATGAGAACAAACCAACCATGAGCCAAGGCGAATGGAAGAACTGGCCTAAAAGCAATGGTTTTCCAGTGGAGTCAGAATTCTTCTGCAAACCTTTCATGCTGCAGTCTTTTTTGAATGCTACCCCTGATTTCATTCCGATAGTAATCACAGTTGAGAGATATCTTTTGAAGATAAAGCATGATGCCGAGCTACTTTAATGGTTTGCAAACTGCTCTCAAGAATTACGTAAAAAATATGCACTTCCAACGATACCATGGATTAGTTCATCTAAAATTGTTGGATTTCCAATTAAAAACATAAACAGGCTTGGATATATTTGGACACAGATGTTGCTGGAGTTTCCAGATTCCATTGTTTAAAGGTATTCCATAAATGTGACAAAAAGTGTGGAGAAGGCATCCATCTGATTGGGTATTCAGGCTTACAAAGAAAGTAATTACAAGGCCAGAGCCTGGGAGTTGGCCCTCATTCATCTAAATTCCCTTTCACATATCAACATAGCTTGACCTTGATTTTTTAAATGTAAGCAAGGGACATTGATGTAGTCTGAATAAACCAGTCTTTCAAATAATCTGAGGAGTCTGGAATCAGGAATGACATACACTTGAAGGAATACTCTTAAGTAAATATGGTGGTTTTAAAAATAATGTCTTCCCTTCCTACTGAGCTAAATTTTGATCTTCTTTCTAGGGAACTTTTGTTTGCCAGGTCCTTTGGAGAGTGCTGGCTCTCCCTGTCCTCCTGTTTCTGAGTCTTCCCACTGACCTTCTCACCAGGCCCTTGGTGTCTCCACCGTGGCCTCTCTGGTCTGCCACCATCTCTGCTGCCCAGGCGACCTCCAGCCTTCCTCGCCTTTCTCTGAGGGCAGGGGCCTCTCTACTCTTCCTGACAAAGCACTTTCAGTCAACTCTTGGATTTCTTCACGGGTGATTAAACTGTCTGTGTGTATTCAGGACCCTTCTCCTCTTTCTGTGTCCGGCTGCTGACCTCTCTCTGAGTTCATTGTCAGAGGAGAAAGTGCACAGGGCAGTCCATCTGACTACTTGTTAGTAGCTCTGGTAAAGATTTGGTCCTGGAGAACGTTTGGGCTGTTGAATTATTAGTACATCTTCAAAACATCTGACTTTTCGCCTGGGTAGTTTTCTGAGTCACTGTTACCGAGTGAGGCAGACGCACCGGAGAGGAAACAACACCTGATAGCCTGTGGGTTGTAACCACTAGCATCTGCCTGGAACCTCGCCAATGTGGGTAGTTTCGCCATTAAGCTCCACAGGGCTCCTCATAGCCTGAGATTCCTCATAAGAGTAGGTATGGTCTTTTTGCTTGGAAATAGGAAAGAGAGAAAAATGAAGCACAGGGGGTTTTGTTCAGTGACCAGAAGACAAGCCAGGACTAACGCGTTAAGCCCAAACCCTCTTTACAGAGATTTTGGCCGCAGGACCCCTAACCCCCCTGTAACTCTGGACTCCCGGGGCAAACTCACCTCCCACCCGCAGGGCGCATGCTCCAAGGCCCAGGTCACGTGAGAGTTCTGCCGCATGCAGGCATCACCCCTTTCACCGAACATTGTTGCACGTGTCTGCTGTGCCTCTCAAAATGACATTTTCGTCATTTGCTTATTTGTGCACAATTCCTATCACTCTCATGTGACTGCAGGTGTTTGGAGCACGGGGATGGTGCCTTCTGTGTCTGCATGCCCCGAAGCATGGGACACGGTGAGAGTTTTAGTGAAAGTACCAGGAAAGGGAGGTGTGATGGATGCTTTCCTCGCCTTCTCTTACATCCTTTGGATGCCACCTTACTTACCTATGATAACTGTATCTCCCCCCCCCCCCCCCCCCCCCCCCCCCAGCATTTCTCAGCATTATGCTCAGCTTCCGCCTGTTCCATAATATACCATTGGTGTGGCCTGTATTTCAGTTTTGCTCTTTGTGCATCTAACCTTTAAATGGCTGCTGGGTCAGGGCGCCTGGGTGGCTCAGTTGGTTGAACAACTGACTCTTGATTTCTGCTCAGGTCATGATCCCAAGGTCACATTCAGTGTGGTGCCTGCTTGAGATTCATTCTCTCTCTCTCTCTCCCCCTCCCTAAAATTAAAAAAAAAAAAAAAAAAAAAAGAATCTAGCTAGCTAGCTAGCTGCCCTGTCTTTGCTATCTGTCTCATTCTGTAAACTCTTAGGGGACCGAGGTTCCATGGAACCCCCTTGACCTATATCACTGGACAATAAAACCACCAGTGGCTGGACTCTTGAGGGACTTCTGGAGATGGTGGTCTTCTTTCCTGGTGGTCAGAAAAGTGAATCACTCACTACAGCTGATCGTTGATCCTCTTAGAACTCACGGTTACCGGTCTGGGAATTTGTGTTTGTTCCCAGTCACTACTGCACCCTCCCTTGTTATGAATCTCCCACATACGTTTTGAATGGTGTGGCTGCAAGTGGGTTGCCGAGAGACCAGAGAATCATTCTCTGCAGGCGAGGTTTCTCAACAGGGGCACTCGGAATGCTTTGAGCCTGACGACTTAGTCGTGGTGGCTGCGGTGCGTGTGTTCTGGAAGCTGGTTAGCAGCAGGCCTCGTCTCCACCCTCAAGATGCCCCACAAGCGTCCCCCAGTGCAGCCACTGAACGTGTCTCCGGGCTTGTCAAAGGTCCCCTTTGGGAGGGGAGCAAACACGCTGGTTAGGAGCCAGTACTATGTGGGATGAGGACTGGAGGGAAGGGAATGAGCATCATAACCAGGGGCTCTTCCTCTCTTCCCAGTTTTTATGGGTTTGTTTTTGCTTCTGTTTTTTAATGTAACCAGCGTGATGTTCTGCCCTAGTCATTTTGGGGCGAGTCTCCCAAATGCGTTTAAATTTTACACTACTTCACCACTTTGTCCCCTTTTTCCCCCAAGGGCCTTTTTTTTCCTCCCCCCCCCCCCCCACTATTACCACTGGGCTGAGTCCTGCTTTCTGTGGCTCAGTCCCATCTTGTTTGGGGAATTCCAGTGGCTTTCAGAAAACTTTGAGGGGCACATGAGAAACTGTTAGGAGGGACAGCTAGTCGGAGGTGGCAGGGCCACCTGCTGTCCCAGAGCCTGGGGGGCCCTGTGCCTGGGGGTCTGCTCCTCCACTTCCCCCATCCATGAACTAGATTTCTGTCTCTTCCCTGGCATTAATAAGCTGTTGGGGCAATAATTCACACAAACTGAACTTACCAGAAACTAGGTTTACAAGCCAGACAATAGTACTGCTTTAAAACGTGCATCTTTCTGGAGCTGTGACCAGGGTTTGGAATGCAGGGCGGGCAGCATGAGATGTGGTCCAGAGTGCACGTGGGGCCCCGGGGCCAGTGGGCTCCAGGCCCTGGCTGAGTGTCTGGCCCCTTCTGTCTGCCTCAGCTGCCAAGGAGATGACCCCTGTGGGCTGGCTGGGGAGAGAGCTGGCAGGCGGGGATCTGAGAGGAGAGAGAATGGAGAGACAGCATGATCTTTAGAAATCATTTACAGTTTCTGCTCCATTTAAATGTCAGTGTCCTAAGGCCCAGTGCCTGTTGCCTGTCCTGAGTGGACACCTTCCCAGCATTGCCTCCAGTTACCAGGATGACCAGGAAGCTGCAATAGGTCTGGCAAATGTGACATTAGCACAGAGGGGGTGGAGTGGGGCAATCTCATGAGATATTCTCTCTGGGCTGTGGAAAAACCTGATGAAATCGCCTGGCTTCTGAGAAAAGCTCATCTCCCCAGAGATGGGAATTGCCCCTTGCTGCCCTGAGAGAGCTGCTTTCTTGCCGAAGAGGGCTGAGTGCCCCGGCAGGCTCTAGTTCCTCAGACTCCCCTGCCCTCCTTCCCTTTCGGATCCCCCTCTTCCATCCTCACACAATTTACTTGGGGGTCTTGTCACCCACATTTGCTAACACTGAGTCTTCCCAGAGTGCCTCTTGGCATTCTGTGCTTGCTTAGCGTAGCTTCTAGAACTCAGTGATCGGTAGGGACTTCTAGACACGCAGCTCCAGGCTCCTGGCTGCCCTGAGCAATAACCCAGACTGGGCGTGTTCTCCAAGCTTGTCGGCTGGCCATACCCTGCAGGATACCCCTTCTTTGGAGATGTCTTCTCCTTGATTGGTGTCAAACTTTGACAGATATTTCTTCTAAGTGGACAGCGAATGCCTTTGTAAAGTTTGTTATTTCCCCTAACAGAGAGGAAAAAGTAAGGAACGTTGTGGCCTCCATGTTTTCAAGTGATGAAAGCAGAACACCGTCTCTTTTTCCATGCTGTCAAGGTTCCTGGTGCTGCCTTTTGAGTTCTGTCCATCAGAGGCTGTCTCTGGCTCGAGTTCGGGTAAGAGTGCAGCCAGCCCCTGTAGGCCTGATGGCCGGCCCTCAGGGTGTGGAAAAGCATCGGCTCAACCAGCTTTCCTGTCATGAACCAAGCGGGGCCATAAACTACCCACACCGAGAAGGCCTTCTTGCCACTGAGTCATTCTGGCTCCCATTGCGAGGCCTTTGTCAGAGTCCTTTGTCACTTTTGAAACTGTTATTTCTTTGGAAATAAAAGAACAGCATGGCCATGGTTAGTGTTGCTGGTAAGTTCTATTACTAGAGGCACATTTACTGTAATAGAAAAATATGAATCTGATCAGTGTGTTACGAAGCCTATTACTGCCACAACCGTCATCTTTGTCCCCAAACACCACGGTACCTGCACTTCAAAAGCATGTTCTTCAAAAGCCATTGTGCTGGGGAAACAGGATGAACAGTGCTTATATGACGCTGATTTCCTTTAAAAAGGAAAGAGAAGAGAATGAAAAACAGCCATGCAGTTCCAACAGGGCTCTCTGTGAGCATTTCCACACTGGTCTGCTTCCTCGTTGGTTTTGGTCAGGGATGCTCCATATTTTCTCTGTGTATTTAATTCACATGGTTTCATGTGAATTGTTCAGCCCTAAGTCAACAGTCTTCATGTCTGTTTAGGTTAAATGTGCCTTTGCCTCCTTACAAGTGTCTCTGCTTTGGGGGCCTTCCATACTTGGTATGAATATCCTCTAAGGACACGAAAAAATGTGGGATAGGGGCCCGGCAATGGGGTCTTGGATCCCTAGGATCAACATGGAGCAGCTTTGTGGATCACTAATTTTACTCGCAGACTTTTCGGAAATGTTTTTGTATTAAATAGTGATGTAACAATGGAGTAGAGCACTCCGTTTCATGAATTTAAAGGTAATGCACAACACTTCAAAGACATGTTATGCTACGGCCGATGCCATTAGGTATCCCATCAGGGTCCTGCAGTGGGTAGTGTTATGGGTTGAATTGAACCCCACCAAATTTGTTGAAGTCCTAAACCCTACTACCTCAGAATGTGAACCAATTTGGACAAGAGGGTCATGGCAGGTGTAATTAGTTTAGAGGGGTCATACTGGAGTAGCGTAGGTCCTTACAAAAAGGGGGAAATTTGGACATAGACACGCACACAGGGAGAATGCCATGTGAAGATGGAGGCAGAGATGCGGATGATGTGTTTACAAGCCAGAGTGCCAAAGATTGCCAGCAAACCCCAGAAGCTGGGGAAGGGGCCTGGAATATATTCTTTCTCATAGGCTCATAAGGAACCAATGGAGTCAACACATTGATTTCAGACTTCTGGCCTCCGGAACTGTGAGACAATCCATTTCCATTGTCGAAGCCACTCAGTTTGTAGTACTTTGTTGTGGGAGCTCCGAACAAACAAATCCAAGGTATTTCAGTCTTTTCTCTTGCTGAAGATGCTTCATTGGCAGAGTCTGAGAAGTGCTGAACTGAGTTGTGGAAAGAGCTCAATGTTAGGGTCTGCTAGATCCAGCTTTGGATTCTGGCCACACCACCCACAAGTCACGTGGCCTGGGGCATGGATCCCGATGTCCTATTGTGAGCATTACATGAGAGGCCTCATGTAAGAATACCAGCGATGCGACCTGGCAGCTCATTGGGTTCTTAGTAGATGTTATTCTTGTTTGCCCTTTCCACTTTGCCCTTCCTGTCCCCAGGGGTCATTTTGTCTGAGAGATGAGGAGCTCGACTTGTCTCCAGCCACACCGTGAACTAGTGCAAGGCTGGGTATCAAATTCCAGGCCACTCGACTCCGTATGTGCACTGTGGTTCCCCTTGATGTTGTCTTTCAGGGCTCCTTCCAATAATAAACATTCTCTGCACATTGTCTCCCACAAACAGTTGCAAAGGTGATGAAATGGGTCAGCCTCTAGGCCCGGATGCTCTTTATACCACCTGGTGAGAAGTACCTTATATGGGAAGGTTCTCACACTACCCAGAAAGCCTTCTTAACAGGAGAAATGCCTCTGCTTTATTTTATTCTCTCTACATATTAACATATAATGGTTAGCATGAAGTAATGACTACCTCATGAAAAGATTATATTTTGTTCAAAAGTGTTTTGCAACATTCATTACAGGATAAAAGGGCTTGGGCCTTTTAAGAAGAAACCAATTAGAATCTGAGGGCTGATCCAAGTTGTAACAACTGTGGAGGCCTGTCCTGCAGGAACTCCAATAGTCCCTTTTAATAAGGATTGATAAGCAAGGGATTAGAGCAAATTAGTTGGTAGTGACTAGTTCCTGATGCAAAACGGCCTGAGTTACATTGTCCTGATTGAACAAAGGTATTGGGGACAAATCGCTTTGCGGATCTAGGAAGGTTGCCTAAGTTATGATTCAGTATGGATAAAGATCAAGGTCTGGAGTCAAACCTGCATGGGCCTTGGCTGCTCCAAGGAAGTTGGACACCATCTGGAAAAGCTACAGGGCCCCTTCCTGGAGCATGCCCCAGTGCTGCAAACATTTGTGGGACATTCAGTTTTCCCCTTCCACTCACTCTTAGGTCCTCCCACCCCAGGGGAAGAGACATCACTTTCTACCTTATTGGCCCTTAAAAAGAAAGCTAGCTTCAAGCAGTGTTTATGACTTCTTTTCTGCTTAATGACCAGAGCTCACTTGGGAAAAAATTATGTGGCTGGAGTGAAGAATACTTACCGGTATAGTCGTACTGGTGGGGGAAACTAAAAATCAGGGCTTACTGAATGCAAAGCACAGTCAGAGTTGGAAAGCCCTGGCTGGGTTTTAGGCTGCCAGCACATGGTCATGGGGTTTGAGTTAGTCACTGGGCTTCTCCCAGCCTCAGTGTCCTTGTGAGCACCCGTGGAAGTAATGGTGCCTACCTCACCGCTGCCTCGTGAACAGTGACAGAGATAACACCCTCCAGCTTCGTGCCCTGTGGAAACCGTCCTAGGAATAGAAGGCGATGTTAATATGATAAATTAATGTAGTGACAAAAATACCTAAGCATTTATATCTTTAGAACTTTGTTCTGAATTTTGGAAAATTTTAATGCATTCTAATAAAAAGTGCATTTCATGAACAATGACAAAAAAAAGGGGGTCCCGTTGTAGTCTGTGTTTGAATTTTTGTAACTAGCAGAAAGCCTAACCTATAAATTGCAAACCAGCTCACAAACGTGTTATTTCACCTGCAGGGTATTAAACAAGTTTTGTTTTGTTTGTGTTTTGCTTTTTTTTTTTAGTTTATTTTTTTTTCAGAGAGAGAGAGAGAGAGTAGGGGAGGGGAAGAGAGAAAGGGAGAGAGAGAGAGAGAGAGAGAGAGAGAGAGAGAGGGAGAGAATCCCAAGCAGGCTCCTCACTGTCAGCACAGAGCCTGACACAGGGATCGAACTCACGAACCAAGGGATCATGACCTGAGCCAAAATCAAGAGTCGGATGCTAACCGACTGAGCCCCCTAGGCGCCCCTGTTTTGTTTGTTTTTTAAATCAACTGTCAACATGTAAAACTAGAGGATTTCCCATAAAAAAAAAAAAAAAAAACAAAAAAAACTCCACTAAACCAAATCCTAGATTGCAGCTTTTCTTGGGGAAATAGAAGCAGAATTGCTGGCACAGCTGATTGGCATTTCCCGCAGCCCACTGCTCCCCACCACCCGCTGGCTGTTTACCACCCCAGGCCAGCCATGCCCAAGGTTTCCATTTCCCTGGTGGCGTCTTCCCACTGGGAGGCCTAGCGTTTCAAAAAGCAACATCCTTGAAAAATGAAACCAGTCAGAGAGCAAATGCTTGATGGATGCTCAAACGGGGTTGGGGAGTGAGGGTATTTGGTCTCTTATCCTAAGCTGGTCTACGTGGCCCAGGTGTGGTGAAGTGGAGTTTCTGTCTTATAAAACGAGCACAGGATCCTTGTGAGGATTCAATTAGGTGACATAATTAAACCTTGCAAGAGCCGACACTTGGTAAATGCTAGCTCTGAGCAGGACATCCCAGGCTGCTTGGGGCACTTCTGACAAACATCTGTAGTTTAAACTCACAGTCCAGGGGCGCCTGGGTGGCTCAGTCCGTTAAGTGTCTGACTTCGGCTCAAGTCATGATCTCATGGTCCGTGAGTTCGAGCCCCGCGTCGGGCTCTGTGCTGAGAGCTCAGAGCCTGGAGCCTGCTTCATATTCTATGTCTCCCTCTCTCTCTCTGACCCTCCCCTGTTCATGCTCTGTATCTGTCTCAAAAATAAATAAACATTAAAAAAATTTTTTTAAACTCACAGTCCAACATGAGGTCCCTGTAAGCCACCAAGCACCTTCAAAGGATCAGGCTCAGGAAGAAAGGAAAACAAGGACGCAGGCTGCTCCCCACAAGACTGGAAACCCAAGGTGGACACAGATCCTCAGCATAACACGGACACTGTTTATTTTTGGTGAATCACTCCTGTGTCACCAGGAGTGCTAGAAAGCTGGGGTAAATGTGATATGCCAAGAGATGTCTCTTTGTTTTGACAAGGCCACATGTAGCAGATTTGATGCGTACCTGTGTCTGCTCCAAAGAAACATGAACCAGCGACAGCCCAGTGCATCTGCCTGAGTGCTCACCTCCAGTGCAAATACACAGCCAGCTTCCTGCAGACAGCCAGGGACCGGGAGCCTGAAAACTTATAGGAAGGCCTGAGTTTCTCAGGGGTGGGAGGGAGGCAGCCATCCAGCACCACTGTGACCCAGATTGGGGCTATCTCTAAGGATATCACCAATCCCTAGGAGCCATACCCGGGAAAGATCTCACTGCTTTCTTCTCCCTGCCAAGGGTTCCACCCAAGGCGGTTTTATAGGAAGGTGCCTTTCTTCTGAGAAGGAGACTATCCCCGGGTCCAGCAAAAGATGAGTAAATGATTACTGGATGCTGTAAAAGGATCTTGTGAAGTATTTCTGTTGTCCAACAAAAAGGATCTGGTTTTTACACATCTGTCTTTTTGGTTCATTTGTTGCAGATAGAAGGCTGCAAACGCCTTCTAAGGACCAAGGGTAGGGCTTACTTTGGGAGATGGGGTGGCTAAGGATTTGGGATTTCCCCACTGTTTGTTTCCTCCATCTCATGACCTGACAAAAGCAACCGTCTGAGTCACACAGCGAGTGGACTTGCATTGAGGAAATAATCCATTTGCTATTATAAACTAGGGAGGCCCTTAGGAAGAAAACCAGGCTGTTTCCTGGGTAGGCCTGCCCTAAAGTGGGGCAAATGATACAGCACTGGGGATGTTGAAATGAAGAGGGGTGCATTTTTGACGGGGGAACTTGAGGTCATTTAGGCTTAAGCTGTAACCAAGGCAGAGATTCTGAACCAGGGTGGGAGGGTCCCCAGGGAGTTGTGGATTCAGGGACGTTAGGGCTGGATCTCCAGATGTGTGTGTATATGCCACAGATTACTTGGAATGTTGTATGAAAGTAGGAGTGGCTGACTTGATGTCAGGGTTTCTCAACTTCAGCACAAGTGACATTTGGGCTGGATCATTCTTTGCTGTGGAGGGCTGTCCTGTGTGCTGTAGGGGGTTAGCAGAATCCCTGGCCTCTACACACTGGACGCTGGTAGCACTCCCCTGCCTCCCAAGTTGTGACGGCCAAGACTATCACCACCGTCAATGTCCCCTGGGGGCAGAACTGTCCCTGGTCGAGAACCACTGAGATAGGAGAGTCCCTGAGGAGGCAGAGAGGAAGTATGAGGTGAGCCGCTCCCTGGTGAGGCTCCCTCACAGACCTACCCCTTGTTCCTGTAAGTCATCACTGTTTTCATACCTCAGCATCAGGCAGCTACTTATACCTTCTGGCCAAATGTTTTGTCCTGACAGCTAGTCAAACATTGGAACTTTCTCTTTTTTTTTTTAAGTTTTTTTTTTAATGTTTATTTTTGAAAGAGAGAGAGAGAGAGAGAGAGAGAGAGAGAGAGAGAGAGAGAGAGAGAACAAGTGGGGGAGGGGGGCAGAGAGAGAAGGAGACACAGAATCCAAAGCAGGGCCCAGGCTCTAAGCTGTCAGGGCAGAGCCCGACACAGGGCTGGAACCCATGAACTGGGAGATCATGACCTGAGCCAAAGAAGTCAGATGCTTAACCGACTGAGCCACCCAGACACCCCAAACACTGGAATTTTCTTCAGTGAGGTGGGGAAACAGATAAGTGGGTAAGGCTCTTCCTCTGAGAAATATGAGTATCTTTTGGGGGGAGGTTGTAGCCTTGGAGACAGCACAACAGCTACTAGGAGGAGCCTGGGGTCATACCAGCAAGAGCACAAAGGAGAAAGGTAACACAAAATGAAACAAAAGACATATTTTTCCTCAGCGGGTTGTGTTCACTGCTTAATAAGCCAACACATCCAAACTCAGGAGAGGTGCACACCTATTCTGGGACAAGCCCCGGAGCCGTGGGTAGAGGTGGTTGAACGATTTGGTGTGCAGGGAGGTAACCCCCGTGTATGACCACCCGGCCTCTGGGGGCTGGGGCCATCCATCAGTCACAGAGCCGCCGGCAGACAGGTGGAGCTGTGAAGAAGTGCATTTGCTCAAACACGGCAAACGGTGTTGGAACAAGCCACCACTTTCTGAAGCTATTACACTCTGTCAAGTCAGGAGCTGACTCTGGGGGATGCCCAGGTGGCCAGAATTCACTCACGGTCCAGGGCCTGGAGGAGCTGTGGGATTGTTGTTTTCCTTCACTGAGGCAGTAAAGATTGATTTTGGATGTGGTGACTGAGGCCCAGCGCGTTAGTGACCGCAGAGGGACGCTCCTTTCCCACGCTGCACTGCACGCAGACAGTAGAACGTAATGTAAGGCCCCTTCGGGCATGACTCCTTCCTCATCACATCATTTACCGGCTGGGGCCCCGGGGCCTATGGAGGGTGGACGGCTGAGCAAAGGCCTGGGGTTTGGCGCAGGGCATCTCAGGCCCAGAGGTGAGACGGTCTGCCTGCCACAGGAATAGCCTCTGGCTGCTCTCACATTTGACGTCCTGCATTTGGCTTGGGGGAGCCGGCTGGGGACCTCTGATAAGCAAGTCAAAGATTCGAGGCAACAAGCAGCTTGTTGATGTCCCACCCTCCTCTCTGACACCAGGAGAGAAACTCACTGGCAAGGGATGCAGCTGGCCTTTGCAAGGCACTGTTCCATTAGAAGCCAGACATCCTAACAAAAGCAAGAATGACAGGAATGAAAGTTTCTGCGCTGACGCACAGATACTGACTGAAGAGGTATTTCTCATGTTGGCTTTGCACTTCTGAGGGCAAATCTGCCAAACAGATATCAAAGGAGATGGGGACCCCAGGCGAGGAGGCACGCACTCTGCACTCAGAGCAGAGAGACTGAAGGAGTCTCTCTCCCAGTTTCACTTTTCCCACCTGCAAGGCACAGGTCATAATGCCCGTGGCAGCTGCCTTGCAGCATGGTTGAAAGAACCAGTTTAAACAGAGGCTCTTGTTTTGTTTTGTTTTTTAATGTTTATTTACTTTTGAGAGAGGAGAGAGACAGAGCATGAGCAGGGAAGGGGCAGAGAGAGAGACACACAGAATCTGAAGCAGGCTCCAGGCTCTGAGCTGTTAGCACAGAACCCAATGTGGGGCTTGAACCCATGAACCGTGAGATCATGACCTGAGCCGAAGTCATATGGTTAACTAACCAAGCCACCCAGGTGCCCCCAAACAGCAGCTCTTAGCTTAGTCAACTGTTGGGCAGGTTTCAGTGGGGCTGCAAAGCCCTGAAATTACTAGCACGAGCATTTTGCTTCTACATGATTATGTGCATCTTCCTGGGGAGAGGATCACCGCTTTCACAATATTCTCAAGAAATATGATTACCCTGGAAAGATTAGAACCATTGGTCTGGATAATGCGTGAACGTGATATATAACTGTTATCAGCAAAGGTTTTGGGGGAGAAAGGGACACAGAGGAGCACCTACTCTGTGTCAGGGTGTGTGGGGGACACACAGAGAAGAAAACATGATTCCTGGCCTCGTGGAACATATGACAGATTTTGGACAGAAGACTAAAACATGAAAAATCAAAAAGAAAAGGTAACTACCAGCAAAGCAGCTGAGAGGTCGGAAGAACTTAAGTGCCACATAAATTCAGAAGTGGGAATGGTCTGGGCAGGAAGGAGGACAGGGTTGGGCTCAGACAAAGGCAGAGAAGGGCCTCCGTGGAGGAAGGCTGGCCCCAGGACAGCCCAGGCCCCAGAGCTTGAAGGGTGAGTATAGAACACTCTGGCCGTGGGGCCCCCTGAGCGGGATGAAGGGTCTCAGAGCAGA